TTTTATATATAGAAAGATATTTTAAGTATTGCAAAAGTAATATTTGATATCAATTTGTTGATGTGATTTGATAAGTTTCAATCGAATTAAAGAAAATAAAATTTAGAATAAAAATTTAAGAGAAAAAATTGTATCTCAAAACTCAATTTCTATTGTTTAAATTTTGCGATGATAAAATACTACAAATGAGCAATATTTTTTTACTACATTTGGTACATAAAAATTAATTGCTAATGCATGAATTTAAACACTCATTAAAATTTCTACAAGAAATAAATTTATTATAACAACTCTAAATTCATATAGATCAAGATTTATGAAGTCAAAATTCACTTAATGTAGATTAATGTGAATATTAATTAATTGAGAATTAATAATACGAAATTCATACATGACAAGAATTTTTTAGTATTTATTACATATTGAAAAATGAAAAATAAGGTATTATTGAAATAATTGAATTGTAGTGGAATAAAATCGTCCAAAAAATAATTCACTTAATGTGATATTTAATATATTATAGATTATGTGTGTTGTCTATATGCATTGAATAAAATGCACGGAAACATCTCATGAAGAAAGTGTTTTGCTTTGGTTTCCCTTTGGCCGTTTGACTGTAATGTGGAAATTGAAACCGAATTCTAAAGTACAATTACTTTAAGTTATATTTTTTTTGTTCTCATGAAAAACGAATTCATTTGAATTTGATGAGTTTTTATTTTTTAACTAACTTTCTTTTCACATTTGTCTATCAAACGGACCCTAAATATTTTTAATGAAATTCGGAAACTGCATGGAAACTTTTAGGAACTTTGCGTGTCAATTTTAGAAATTTTACCCAAAAAAGAAAAAAAAAATGAAGAATTTCTTACTAAAAATTAAATTAAATTTAGCCTTTGGCTCTTAATTATGGGCCCTTTAATTATTATATTAAAAGAATTATAAGGATAAATTTTAACATAAACTAGAGTTTCTAAAAACAAAATTAAGTCCCTCTTCGGATCCCATTTTCTAAAGAATAATGCGATTTAGCACAAATGGTGTTACAACACTAGTTTAAGT